CTTTGCCCACAAAGTCATCTAAACCAATACATCATCCATCGCATTTTCTTGAATTGCCCTTTGGAACATTTTTACATTTTATTGCCCAACCTTAGTTAGAACCAATCAGATACCTACAGATGTGATGTAAAAACAACACCTTTAAACAGAAAAAAGAAAAGCTTTTATAGGAGCCACTTTACAAAGATAAATTCAGGATCATATAAGGCATCACTTTTGAATTTTTTTTTTTTTATCTTTTTTTATTTCCTTTTGAATTTTGATTTTCAATTCTATTTTTTATTATTAATTTATTGTATTCTTTAGCTAGTTTAGTTTTATTAGTTTCAGTTATACTTTACACACTGGAGGATAGAAAATAAATAAATAAAATTGCAGATAAGGGCAAAGTGCTGCAGCAACACAGATATACTGCCACCTGCTGGTGTAACAGAAACAACAACAAGACCTCACAAGGAAAAACTTTTTTCCCCTTAGAAATCAGCTTGTTTTTATTTGTGCTCTTATTACATTGTTATTATTAGTTTTTGTTTTTTCAAGGTCTAGCTTTTCATTTAATTTGTTATTGAAAATGTTTTTTTCATTTTAGCTTTTGTGATTTTATCGGCTTTAGTTAACAATAATAACCTTGTATTGCTAATCGGCTAACCTATTAACCATTTTTATCAACAAACTGATAATTATTGTAGAATAGATTTGTTTTTCTACAGAACTCTAGAGTGAGAAAGTTGCTCTTTGGCACAGTTGTGAATCGAACCCTTCCACTCCTTTTTCTGCCTTTATCAAAGGATAGTAGATTTTCCTGGAAAACAATATGATTCACCAAAAGATCTGAAACTTTTTTTAGCAATATGCAGAAATTTCAAAGAATTAGATTTTTGATTTTCTTTTTTAAAGAAGAAGCCTTACATTAAGAAGTAGCCTGTCCATGTTTGTGTCTGAGGCCATTTTCCTCTGATCCTCAGGCATTTCATCAACCTCACCATAAAGGTCAAAGTGCAATCGTGCCAGCTTCTCCTGCATCTCTCTGACATGCTCCATCTGATCGATGGAGCACTCATTGCCTAAGACAGAACAGAAATGGTGTTATTGTCTGGATCAAAACATGAAGGTGACATGCTTCCCCCTTTAGCTCTGTTACCAAAAGCTTGTAGTTTCCCTGAGTGGAAGTCGTTGAGGAGGCTGAGCAGACCGTTTTCCATCTCTTGCACGTCTGAGACATCAGTCAGAAATGAGTGCTGGACGATGGGAGCTGCCTGGCCCTGGTTCTGATTCAGTTTACCTCCTAAGCCCTGTGGATATCTCACTTTATCTTTCATGCCCCTAATAAAACAACAGGAATATGAGTTAATACGGATCCGGACATTTATTTGTGTCATTTCTGTGGATAAAAGGACAAAACTCGACCTCCTGCTCCTGTTTTTCTGGCCGGACATGCCGCCCGTGTTGTGGCTGTAGCCCACATGCCTTCCCCCGGAGGCAGCGTTACTCTTCCGGCTTGAGCCTCCGATCTGGGCCGCCGAGTTGGTGGAGGTCCGGGGACTCTTACGCTTCAGCTTCCGCTCCTCCATAACTTCATCCTACGAAGCTATCTCGTCTTAGCGATGGCGGCTAAAACCAACCACAGGCAACAACAAACAGTTAGCTAAGTCAAGCTGACAGTCAACTCAACATTTTCTGCTGTTATTTCTGCTGTTATTACATCATTTAAAGACGTAAAGTTTCAATTACAGCTTCCAAAGTCACGCCGAATAACACATTCAGATACAATCTCAATAAATAAACATAAGGAATAGAAGTAGAAGTTACACTAAGCAAGAAAGAATGAAACAATTACTTAATAAATATATGTTTACAACGTACCACGCTAGGCTACCCATGTAGCTTCCAGCTGTGAGCTGTGAAGCTTCCTGATTGGACGCTGAGTACCGGAAGTGCATGCCTGCTGAGATATGCGTCCCCAGTCGCGGGAGCGCGCCTCGCTCTGTACTACTGCATATCGACGAGGAAAACGGATTAAAATGACCAATGGAGCTACTTGTTGTTATATTAATGATATAAACACGATTAAATATTCCTCTCGTGGGGAAAAATTGTGGTTATTAGGCAGATTCATTTACAAAAGTACGGTTATTATGAACAACATTAAATCCAAAGATTTTGTGCTAGGCAGGGGTGGAGCTAGATGGGGGGCCATGGCCACCTTTCGCAAATCATTCCCACCCCTATCATTTTCCCCCCCGTTTAATACAAACGGTGGCAACAGTAATACTCTAAAGTAGAATATTCAAAACATTTTATTTTTTGTGGTTAATTATGCACATCAATATACTAACATCAAAGATGATAAATACAGAATTCATGCTATTTTAAGAACTAGATTTTCTCTTATAAGGGGTAAAGAGAAAAGTATGTGTCTCTATAAGTCATTCAGGAGTCTTCAGTGAAATCAAAGATAAATACATTTTTTTATAAAAACTTAGCAAATAATCAATTTATGTAGATATAAGTGCTTGTAAATATTAATTTTATGCAGAATGTTTATTGATACAAGTAGGTAAGTAATGAGAATGATGATTGATTTACACCCCAGAACGTAAAACTGAGTTTTATCCATTATACCTTTTACCTACAAATTACGGGTGTTTAAATTCATGCATCTATTTGTTAGCAAAGGATGTAGGAATCTATAGTTAGTCATTATTTAGAAAATATGGATGTTTTGCTCATTAATGTTCCTGTTGGAACAGTGTAGATTGACCCTGAGGTTCTGATGCCTATCCACTTTCGGCCACCCCTCAGTGTACATTGGTTATTGCCTGGCCACCCTTATAAAATTTTTTTAGCCACCCCTCTGGTCCGAAGCATGGCTGATTGATTTGTTGTAGTCTCCTGTTATTCACACACAACAATAAACAGTGATAGCCAACGTGAGTTCTGAAACTGTAAAGCTACACAGCACCTACACAGCACAGCGTTCACAGAGCAGTGTGATGCTTCGGATAGCTATGGTGCATTCAGGAGCATGGAACATTTCATACTTACAAGGAAAGCGGCATAAACGGAAGAGAACTTGACTCATACAATAATGTATTTGTTCAGAAACATTGTGGGCTTTCTTACAATACTGAATGCTATATAATTGTATTTCTGTTATTTTGTGATTATGCACATCTGCTAGCTTTTTATTCCAAAAGAAATGTATAATATTACAGCAGCAAATTATCAAAGTCTTCCAAAAGCCTGTTTAAAAGCTCCAAATGAGGCTTCAGATCATACAGCAACAATTGCGCTGTCATTGTTTTACAGGGCAGAATTAGCATTTTCTGGCACTTGACCTTTAACTACTGATGGATATACAGGAATACAGTCATACAAGTGTCAACTCCTCTGAGATAACGGGGTATGCAATTTTTGGCAAGGACCTGCAGATTTGGCTACGTTCCAATTGGTTTACATATTATCCGTGGCATTAAATTATGGACCGCAGCCTCCTGCCAGAGGGGACGGTACTGAAAAATTTTTTCGGCTGGGGTGTTAGGGATCAGCCAATTCTTTCCCTGCATGTCTCAGAGTATATATATAAATATTAGAATAAATGCATACATTTAGTAGAAAAACGACTGAACATATGATGAACTAAGTTAAAACATATTTATAGTCTGTATATTGTTGTCTTCCATGGGTATATTTCAGGTATTTGATGGAATAATTATCGATAAATTACTTGAATGAAATTTGAATTTGGAATAAAACTAGACTTAGTCAGTATAAGTTAATTTAAGTTCTCTGTAAAAACAGAGTAAGAAAAAGAGGAAAATGTACCTATTTTCTGATAATGGGACATTTTTTAAACAATATAATGTAAGATTTTAACACAATTTAAAACAAATTCTAAATGTTAAGATTATTTTATATCTTTGAGGCAAACTTATATTTCTTATATCTCTTGGACTTAAGTACAACACATAATCTGTGCTTTTCTGTCTTAAATATTAGAAAATGTGAGCAGTTTTGACAATGCTGCTAAAATGAAAAAAAAAAGTTATCATGTTACAGGATCATTATTAGTTATAGTTCATCTACAAGGTTGGCAGCTGCATACTTCTGTAGGAATGGGTCAGGAATCAACTAAGGCTGTAGAGGCACCACACTGGAATTCTCAGGTTAGACTGCAATAGAGATGAACGAACGCTAGAGGGAGCCACATTAACACATCATTATAATTGTTGATTCCCCGTTCTGCTATTTAAAATTGAAAATGTAAAAAAAAAATGAAAAAAAGATATAATTATTGTGCAACTAATTAAAAAAGTAAAATAACAAGTAATATATTGAAATATA